GTGTATTTTCACAAAAAACCTATGTAACTATAAAAATAGATTTCTGTCTGTATCATAAAAATGCAGGGTAAGCATGCACTATTGGCATCTATACGTGGTAATCTCAGAGGTTTCAGCTGGGGGCCAGATGGCACATTCTGTCAACCAATAACAAAATAGAGGATTTTACCATGGAAAAGTAACCGCAGGTTTTCTCCAAAACAATTATCCTTAATTAATGCAATACTAAATTAATTGGGGGTGTTGTTTACACACATGACAACGCATTCCACTACTGCTGTCATGACTGCTGATGTATGCTGAGCTGGTGTCAGTAATCATGTTTATACGATGCTTTTCACACTAGGAGTTTCCACCTATAGAATCCATACACATCATGCAGTGCTAAGCTATTTATTCTATATCAATTAATCATTTTGTGATATATTCACATTATTTTACTATTGCTGGGAGTTTCTGATGTTATGGAGACGTTATGGAGACAGACGACAAAGCGTCACTCAATCAATACAATAAAGAGATGAATATATAGAGGAACTGCCTATAGTACAGTATCTTAGAACATAGCTATATGAGCTATACGTATAGTTCTTGAAATGTTTTAAATTTGCACACAACTTAACAAAACTAAAAACAAAAAAAAACATTTAACAGTAAACCAAGTTGTCCACAGATGATCTGACAATAAATGACTGCATCAGTTTCATTGCATGTAGCATTTTAGTTTTTTTGTGCTATAAGATTTGGAATGTTTGCCAAAAACTAGGTATCAGAACTGATGGCCACCAGCAAACATCAAATAAATGACCCAGAACAAGGAATGCCATGGTGCTACTTTGACTATGATATTCATACCAATATTCATATCAGTAGTAATACTTAAATATATTTACTATATTTAATTACTCAAAGATGCTTCAAAGAATACAATGGTATTACAACATAGAATTGTACAGGAACTTTACAATGTGGAAAACAGTAGTTTTAAAGGGATAGTTCACCCAAAAATCAAAATTCCAAACCCGTAAGATCTTTGTACATCTTCAGAACAAAAATTAAGATATTTTTGATGAAATCCAAGAGCTTTCTGAACCTCCATAGACAGCAACCCAACTAACACATTCAAGGCCCAGAAAGGTAGTAAGGACATTGTTAAAATAGTCCATGTGACATCGGTGGTTCAACCATAAGTTTACGAAGCTACGAAAATACTTTTTGTGCGCAAAGAAAACACAAATAATGACTTTATTCAACCATTTCTTCTCTTCCATGTCAGTCTTGAATGCGAGTTCACAAAAGTATCACGATGCATGCATGTGGTGCTGCTGACTTCAGACAGGTTTATGAAGATAGTTTTATGTACAGCGTGCGTCATCTTCTGCTTGTAAACAAGGCGCATCACATTCACGTTCTACGTCAGAATGCAGAAGAAACCTTAATTTGTGTTCCGAAGATGAACGAAGGTCTTGCAAACTCCAAAGACAAAAAAGAGACTAGTTTTTCATTAATTCTCTCTATTTACTATGTAACATGTCAAAGATAAATTATACAATGCATATAAAACATCAGCGAGCACTGATCACTGAGTAGCATCCTCTAAAAGCACTTTTTCACCTCATTTCTCATATTTTTTTTAAAGGGTCATTCTTTAATCAGTTGGCAAATTTAGTTTCTTTCTATAATTCAAATTTAGCCAATGATTTGTGTACAGAGTTCTCTTCTATGATTGAGTGAGCTTTGCAGCAACATGAACATTTAATGAAAGCTGAAAGCACTGCAGTGTATGCTTGTGCTGCAGAGTGTGTCTGTGTGAATGTGTCTGTCTGTCAGTGCATGTCTCCGTGTGACATGTTGCATTTCATAGCTGAAGACATTCCATCACTCTATGCGTTCTCCGCACTCCCCCAGCCTCACATGGGTAAAAATAGCCCCTCACACACAGGGAATCTGGGGTTGTAAACGAACAGGAAGTGGCTTCGTCGCCATGCACTAAATGAGGGTTATTTTTTTCTAATTGTCGCCATTACTGGGGGAAAGATTGGGGGATTTTTTTTAAGACCCAGAACTTGCTTAAAGAGCCCCCTATGCGAGAACCAACACTGAGCAGCCTGGGACAGACATGAGTGCTACAGGACAAAGCTATTTGTTCATTTGGTGGAAGTGTCCAGTCTGTGGAAAGCATGTTCCTAGTGTTAAATGTAGCCACTGGGGCCCCCCAAAAATACTCGGCTCTTCATTTTCTGTCTCTATCCATCTAGCTGGGGGAGTGCGGAGAACGCATAGAGTGATGGAATGTCTTCAAAGCCTCTCTCTTTCACTCCTCACAATAATTCCTTTTGAGGGTCACCATCAGCGCCAGGATTGTGGAGGTTGTGGGGAGAATGTATCGGTCATAAAACTGTAACAGAACATGTTTTTAACAGTGTAAAGATGACTAAATGCCCCCAGACCGCCCCTGGAATTGCTTTAGTTAGGAATTAAAATACTCAAAACAGAGTTGAGGAACAAAACACATGTATTAGAGTCCATTCTAAGATTCTCAAGGATGTAATGAGTGTTTTAATCAATCTAAAACATTCCACAGCATTCCAGTGGAAACAATTAGTCATAACCTTCTGATCAACAGCAGAGTATTGATTGTATTCTGATCACGAGACAACCCACATTACATTACCACAGAGAAAAACTGGCCCTGACCATGACAATGTGGATTGCAAGGTTAAAGAATGTAAAAACAGAAGAATGACAGACTGACCCACTTTTAAAAAACACCTTGGCACCGCTGAGAGCAGATAAAGCTTATGCAGCATTTTATAAGCCAAGAATGCACTATATTATTAATCACTGTGGAAAGAAGAAAAAAAACACACCAGTGTAGATATTTACATATCGTGAAATATATATATGATTATTTTCTACTTGAATTTTAACAAACCTCTAACTCTATTAAAACTAAACTTTGGTGCAAATCAGTGTGCACCTTTAATTTAAATATTAATTAATTAACCGTAAGAATAAAACTCGCAAATCAAGAACACCAGCAACCATCCACAATTCCCTAATAAGCAAAAACGACTTAAATTTTCTTGTGAAAACGCAAAAACCTAGTCATATAGTTGTCATGCTTTCATTTAAGAGGCATAATGAAGCCACACTGCATGTTCATCCTCGTGCCACGAACTCACAAGTCGCAACCCAGAGATATAAATAAACTCTTTTGGGGCTTCAAAGTGTCTCTGAGCCTCAGTGACAGGATACAGACTGACAGAGATGCAAAAAGCAAGAAGTGCGTCCTCAGAATTCATAACAATATGTTGCAATGCATGCTGGGGAAAGTAAATATCAGGAATGCCTGGCATCTGGTCACACTAACCAAACTGATGAAGACTTTAGTGCCTTACAATCTAATGAACCGCCCTACCTGTCCAACACAGACCATCCATGCTTCCTATATAATCTGACACCGTATTGTTACAGCACTGTTCTAAAGTTTGGGTTTGGTTAGATTTTTCAAATGTCTTTGAAAGAAGTCTCTTATGCTTACCATGACTGCATTTATTTATTTGAAATGACAATCTTCTGTAACATTGTAAATGTCCTTACTGTGACTTTTGATCCATTTAAGACATCCTTGCTAAATAAAAGTATTAATTCCTTAAAAAATTATTCAGGTATTAGACCTGATTAAAGAAAACAGAACATTTTGTAAGCATCTACTATATCTATAGTTGTTACTGCCATCTAGTGGTATGCTTTTATGTCATCTGCATAATTCAGACCTCTTTTCCCAGAAAAGATAAAAAAATACACAATAATAAGAAATACAAACAAGCAAATGACAAAAAAAGGAACTCACATTAATTTCCACATCTGGCTGGCATCTCCTCATTCTTAGTCTCTGTAATGCTGTAACTGCTGGAGAGTTGAAGGTCTTTATACTTGATGGGAGCTTCTGTGTGTCCCTCAACCATCTTCTGTTTAGTCGGCCATGGCTTTGCAAACCTGTGAATATCCCTCTGTAGTCAGGTAGTTCATGAAGAACTTTAGCAGCATCACCCTGCACTGAGAATTACTCCTCGCCATCTGAGCAGCAACAGTAATGCACAGACAATTTCATGTTCTGTTAGTGCTCTGCCAAATTCAGCCAGACCACAAAGCTTCACCAGACACTTCACATATGGAGTTTTTGATCTGTTTGTGACTTTATGAAAATGGAAGGATGCTTTGCACCTGTACATGAAGGGGAATGTTAGTGCTGTTGTGTGAAGGTTACTGTACATGTTGAGTGGACATTGCTCCCTCAAAATCAGTAAGAGAACTACCGTGATGATGCCATATCAACAGGAAATGACCTGAAATAATTAAAAAACTTTGCGATTAAACTAGCTTTCAAAATCTTCAAGAAGGTACAATTTAAACCTCTCATTGCTCTTTCACTGATCAGGAGTTAAGTTTCATTTAATTGTGAAATGTTTGAGATTCTTCCAGAAATTTGTGCAATCATTAATATCTTTTTCTCTGAAGAAAAAAAATCAGATCAGGAATGCCTGGCATCTGGTCACACTAACCAAACTGATGAAGACTTTAGTGCCTTACAATCTAATGAACCGCCCTACCTGTCCAACACAGACCATCCATGCTTCCTATATAATCTGACACCGCATTGTTACAGCACTGTTCTAAAGTTTGAAAGAAAGTCTCTTATGCTTACCATGACTGCATTTATTTATTTGAAATGACAATCTTCTGTAACATTGTAAATGTCCTTACTGTGACTTTTGATCCATGTAAGACATCCTTGCTAAATAAAAGTATTAATTCCTTAAAAAATTATTCAGGTATTAGACCTGAATAAAGAAAACAGAACATTTTGTAAGCATCTACTATATCTATAGTTGTTACTGCCATCTAGTGGTATGCTTTTATGTCATCTGCATAATTCAGACCTCTTTTCCCAGAAAAGATTAAAAAAAATACACAATAATAAGAAATACAAACAAGCAAATGACAAAAAAAGGAACTCACATTAATTTCCACATCTGGCTGGCATCTCCTCATTCTTAGTCTCTGTAATGCTGTAACTGCTGGAGAGTTGAAGGTCTTTATACTTGATGGGAGCTTCTGTGTGTCCCTCAACCATCTTCTGTTTAGTCGGCCATGGCTTTGCAAACCTGTGAATATCCCTCTGTAGTCAGGTAGTTCATGAAGAACTTTAGCAGCATCACCCTGCACTGAGAATTACTCCTCGCCATCTGAGCAGCAACAGTAATGCACAGACAATTTCATGTTCTGTTAGTGCTCTGCCAAATTCAGCCAGACCACAAAGCTTCACCAGACACTTCACATATGGAGTTTTTGATCTGTTTGTGACTTTATGAAAATGGAAGGATGCTTTGCACCTGTACATGAAGGGGAATGTTAGTGCTGTTGTGTGAAGGTTACTGTACATGTTGAGTGGACATTGCTCCCTCAAAATCAGTAAGAGAACTACCGTGATGATGCCATATCAACAGGAAATGACCTGAAATAATTAAAAAACTTTGCGATTAAACTAGCTTTCAAAATCTTCAAGAAGGTACAATTTAAACCTCTCATTGCTCTTTCACTGATCAGGAGTTAAGTTTCATTTAATTGTGAAATGTTTGAGATTCTTCCAGAAATTTGTGCAATCATTAATATCTTTTTCTCTGAAGAAAAAAAATCAGAAAAGCAAGACACAAGTCTATTGACAAAATATGTTTACAATGAGAAATGTAAAAAAATAATAATAATAAATAATCGAGACAAATTTTTTTTCAGACAAAAAAAAAAGGAAAATGTCTGTTTTGTGGCGTTACCTGAGTCTTCAGTAATCCATACAGGTAGTGAAGTGCTTCCTTTGGGATGGTTCCTCAATCTCACTGAAATGAACTTCTGTAACATCAGGCTGTTCTCTGAGAATACTGTTTATATGCCATCAAGGGGAGGGAAGTAAAACAGAGAAAGATGACATGTGTTGGCCATGAAGGTTACTTGATAGAACGAGATTTATCAACAGTTTTTATGAAATACAGTAAGCTATATACTACTCATTAGTAGCATACTAGATTAACTTAAATGAGCACTAAATGTACGAATTATGGTATAATACTACAAGGCATGACAGGTCTTACATTTAGTCTGCTGTCACTGTGATGGCATCAGACAGTAATACCGGAGTACTCTGACATGCCATACTTTATAACTACACCCATATACTATTAAAAATAAGGTGTGTACCTTAAAATAAAATGAAACTGAATGTTGACTGCAACGCTCATTCTGCTTATGGACTCTCATTTTTCTATTTCATGGAAGAAAGAAAGGCATACAGGTCTGGAACAACGTGAACTACACTGCTCGTATACTGGTCATAGATCGTAACGAGAATGTTAATTCAACCTGTCTAAAAACCTATTTCTATTGTGTTTTTATTTCTCGTATCATTAGCCTATGAGCATCATTTGATGACAATAAGGCTATGCATCCTCATGAATTACGTATAAAAAAATCCAATAAATTCATTACAATCAGGGCCGCTGCTGGCAAATGGGTGCCCCAAGCAGAATAGTATTGTTGTGCCCCTTTCCTCAAAACAAAACAAAATAAAAAAATAAAATAAAACTACTATAAGGGGTCAAAATGGAACTTTAATAAAATATAAAAGTAAATAAATTGTAATAAAAAATGTATCATTTATAAATTACAATTGTAGCTCTAGACAGTTAACTATGGCTATTTATTAATACAGTTGTCTGATTGATTTTATGGTCTCAAGCATTCAGAATCACGCAAAAGAAAATTAAGCAGTTTACTATGATAACCATGGTTTATTTTGGTATGGGCTGTGATGTCCACAGGTTTTTATTGAAGAAATTAAAGACAAGAGGCTGTAGCATTTCTATCGCAAAAAGGTGGCCAATTAAAAATTAAGTGGATATTTGAATTAAACGTTTGGTCAATATTAAACAAGAATTTGATCGTCCTGTAAGTGTAACAGCAGCAGTTATCAGGCCTTTGGTGCCCTTTGCAGGCATTTGTAATAATGTAAATTGTTTATTTTGTATTACATTATGTATTTTAACAGTGTTATTCAATGAAATATGACCATTATTTATTAACCAATCGCCTCGTTGTTTTTATATAATAGCCTACATTTTAATTCATGGAAACTAGAATATTAAGTCAGATGCGTTGTTGTTGGTGGTGAAATTATTACCGACTTTAAAACACGTTACTAAGTCAAAGAAGTTTCACAGGATTATCAATGTAGTTACCTGAAAGTGATGCACGGGCTTCATCTCGGGCTTTTTATTTATAAAAAGCATGTTATAAAGTTATAAACATGATTAAATGTCCTACTGACAGCCCTCAAAGTGACTGAATAATCATTTTATGCATGGGATCGTGAAGCGCCAGTTTTTTCAAACCAGCTGTCCCGAACTGATAGTCCCATACTGCATGAAGTGCCAAGCTTCAAACGTCATCGATCACGTGGTATTGTCATTTCGATACAAGCATCGGCACAGTGTGTGATACAATAGTGGTTTGAAAACTGCGTCGGAGCATCGGAATCAATTGTCCCATCACTTATTATATATATAGCAGCGGTACTGATTACAATCTACTAGTGCCGAACTGTAAGGAGCGCAGCAATGTATAGTTTTACGAAACGCGAAAGCACTTGACCCTCTTCGCTCTCTGTAGATGCCGTTCTGACAGTGCGCTGCGCGGGTTTACGTTTCTCGGGAGCAGGCAGCTCACAACAATATTATTCTTTTTTTTATTTTACAGAGGCGCGATATTCTTATCGTTCAGGGGAGAAAATGAGTTTGTGGGTTGATAAATATCGACCATCGTCCTTGGCCAAACTCGACTACCACAAGGAGCAAGCAAACCAGCTCAAAAATCTGGTAAAGAAGCAGAAACTATCTAGACAGCGAACTGGTGTTTGTGTTTGGTCAGACTAAAGTCAATATAAATAACTAAATATGAATTATATTTTATGTACATCATTGCGCTCTCTTCTGGAAGTAAATACTTCAAATAGTTTGTTTACAGTTGCAGCAACAATATACTTTGCAGTAGCTGTGATATAACGTTAATTAAATGTGCTTCACATATTAGCCATACTGTCTTTAATTAGTACTGAATAATATTATTAGATAAAACGATGATCTCTCACTGGTTAATTGTCCAGGTCCAGTGTGGTGATTTCCCCCACTTGTTGGTTTATGGACCGTCTGGTGCTGGTAAGAAAACCCGGATCATGTGTTTGCTCAGAGAGCTGTACGGTCCCGGGGTCGAGAAACTCAGGATTGAACACCAGTCCATCACGGTATTTCAAAAAATTGCTATAAACTGTTTTCTAATTGTATAGCCTAATACTACAGTATTAACTATCATTGTTTGTCTGTATTAGACTCCATCTAAAAAGAAGCTTGAAATCAACACAATTGCCAGCAACTACCATCTAGAGGTGAATCCAAGGTAATGCAAAGATTGACTGGGCTCTGTGAATTTACTAGCAGAACCTCATGCCTGATCTGTTTTCCTCAGTGATGCTGGGAACAGTGACCGTGTGGTCATTCAGGAGCTGATCAAAACTGTTGCCCAGTCTCAGCAGATTCAGTCCAGTGCTCAAAGGGAGTTCAAAGGTTCGGCTTTTTTCTTTCATTGGGTTAGATGATTAATCTGAATGTTAAATAGCTAAGAGCTGTGTCTGGATTTGATAGCTTTATATTAATGATCTGTACACTTATACAACAGTAATGTAACAGAACTTGCAATGCTAAAATGTCTCATCTCTTCACAGTCGTGTTACTGACGGAGGTGGATCGTCTCACTAAAGATGCCCAGCATGCCTTGCGCCGTACGATGGAGAAGTACATGTCCACTTGTCGACTGATTCTGTGCTGCAACTCAACCTCAAAAGTGATTGCCCCCATCAGGAGCAGGTGTCTGGCTGTGAGAGTCCCCCTGCCAAGTGTGGAAGAGGTGAAGGTTTCTTTTTCTTTTAAGAAATTATTACTTTTATTCAGCAAGGATGCATTTTAAAAAGTGACATTAAATACATTTATAATTTTTGAAAAGAATAAAATGTTTCCAATAAATGCTATTCTTTCGACAATTCATTAAAGAATCCTGAAAAATCATTTTCACCAAAAAAAAAAAAATAGTACTATGTACAACTGTATTTAACATTGGTCATGAGAAATGTTTCTTGAGCAAATCAGCATATTAGAATGATTTCTGGAGGATCATGTGACACTG